AATAGTGATAGAAATGTAGCCGTGTTAGTCTGGTGTAGCTGAAACAAAATACAGGTCTATGTAGCACTTTAAAGACTAACAAGATGGTTTATTAGATGATGAGCTTTCGTGGGCCAGACCCACTTCCTCAGATCAAATAATGGAAGAAAATAGTCACAACCATATATACCAAAGGATACAATTTAAAAAAAATGAACACACATGATACAATTGTCTGCGGGGGGGGGTCCTGCCAGAGCAAAGCCTCAGAAGCGCGGGAACCCGCCCGGTGCCCCGGTCTGCTGGAGACGGTCTCCAGCAGACCAGGGGCACTGGAGCAGCTTACGAACGGGGCTTTCTCACCCCGGAGCTCGCAGGTAGCAATCCGCCACCTCGACCTGCGGGGCGAGAAAGCCCCGTTCGTAAGTGCGGATCCGACATAAGTCGGATCCGCGTAAGTCGGGGACTGCCTGTACTAGTGAAATTGGCATAACATCATTGAAGTCAATGGAGCTATATCTAGTTACACCAGCTGAGGATCTGACCCTATCTATTATGCAGATTACTTATGATAGCACACAACTCTATAGGATGTATGGCTACATAAGCTCAGTTAGCCTACAAAATGTGAACATTAGGTTTTAGTGATGCTTTATGTTTATTATTGCAGGTTTTTCAGCTCAATACAATATCACACAGGAAAACCAAATCCAGGTAATGAAATGATTGTCCCAATTACAAAATTAATGTACATCTGATTAATTAAACAGCAATAATTTTAACTGAATTAAAGTTATTTAATTAAAATTAAGTTTAGTTTTTCCTTTCTCACTACTTCGAAAAATAGCAATGCACTTTCCCTGCATTGGAGATAAGAAAAGTGCATTTAGTCTGTTCATGTGAGGATAACACAATTGACTGTTTAAAGAATTAGAGAGTGCAAGATCTAAGAAACTGCTTTGCTACCATACTGGTGCATAATGCAAGCCAGAGTGCGGTTTTAGTAAATCAAATCGCCACATTGCACAGTTATTTCTCCTCCTTTACACAGGATTGTGCATTTCATCCACACCCTGAGAGAACAGGCACTTTATTTTTGGTCACTCAGGACCTGATCCAAATCCCATTGTATTTCAATGGCTTCAGGAGACCTTGGATCAAGCCCCAGTGCAATTGTGACTGCAATTGTGTTGCCCTTGAGTGGAAATTAGTCATTAATTTACTCCTAAGTCAGCCCTCAGGTTGGGGTGCAAATCACTTCTCTTTGAAGCTCTCCAGCAGCCCAGAGACATAAATCCCAACGTATTTAGTCCTAAATCTTCCATCTGCCTAGCTACAATCTCTCAGCCTACACTACAGCGTTATTTCAAAATAGCTTATTTTGAAATAATTATTTCAAAATAACACGTCTACACACAAAATGCATTTTGAAATGGTGTTTTGCTATTTTGAAATAGCGTGTCCACACTGATAGGACACTGAATCGCGCCAGACCCGGTTCTGGCAGGGCATCAGGTAAGGAGTTAGCCTCAGGCAGCAGCCACACAAGGTTTCTGAGACCTGTGCTTAAAGGGATCCCTCCCCCCCCCGTCCCCGGACAGCCGGTTTTAAGGTTTCCCTGTTTGCTTACCTCTCGCTGAGGGACAGCAAAACATTTTTTTCCTCTGCGTGCTCTGGTTGCTCTCACTCAGGACACCACAGCACTCTGCAGCACTCTGCCCCTGGGCACTCTGGTGCTTTCCCTGGATGTGTTGCTGTGAGCCTGGCAGCACATTCTGCAGGCGGTAACAGTCTCCCTGGTGTGCCCCACTGGGGGCTTGTGCCTCATTCCTCCCTCACGTCCTTCCACTTACCCATCCCTAGCACCCCTTCCTGCTGTACAATAAAAGACACATGTGGAGATCATGGACATTGGAGACAAACTTGAATTAGGTCCCTGACTCCACACTGGATCAGGCAGGAGCCTGCCTTTTCCGGCCCCTAGCAGGCTCCTGGGAGCTGGCAAACTGCTCCTGGGGAGCAGTGCAGGGCTGGCTGGCACTGGCTGCCTGGCTCATGCTGGGGCCACTGGGTCAGGTGCAGCGACTGCTGGCTCTGGGCTGGCAGTCTTGGGCTGGCACAGGCACTGTGGCCAGAGTCTACCCCTTTAAGGGCTCCGGGGAGAGGGGAAGGGAGAGTTTTCTTGGTTGTGCCCAGAGAGGCCACCAGGGCACCCTGAGATGGGCTGGAGACCCCCTATTTCAAAATAAGCATCTACACAGCACTTATTTCAAAATAGCAATTTCGAAATGGGCACTATTCCTTGTGGAATGAGGTTTACCAATTTCACAATAGGTGCTCCGCTATTTTGATTTAATTTCAAAATAGTGGTTTGGCTGTGTAGACACTGGTAAAGTTATTTCAAAATAACTTTGCTGTGTAGACATACCTTCAGAGAGGTGGATTAAATGCAGTGACAGGAAAACTGCCACTTAAAATGCCACCTTATCTGCTGTGTGGCATTTTAAGTGCAGATATAGCCTTAGATAGTATGAAAACTTTGCATAAAAGAATATTTTATCTGACCCTGTAACGCAGAGATGGGGAGTGCCGGCTCATCCCACTACAGGGGGGAGGGAGAATGGAGCTCTGAGCCACGTGGGCCACATCAAGGCAAGTCATGGGCTGCATTCATGCCCTCTTCCCACTGCCATTCCTCCTCTCCCCTGACTGGGGGAACAGCAGTTCATGTAAGCTCTGCTCCTGTGCTCACTTGCTGGCTCGACCCCCTTGCTCCCATTAGCCAGGAATCACAGCCAATGGGAGCAGTGGGGACTGAGCCTTCAAGTGCAGGGTGGTGCACAGCCACCTCTGACCCTCTGGGAGTTGTTCCAAGTAAGTGCCCCAATCCTCTGTCCCTCATACTGCACCCCTTGCCCCAACCCTCCCCCCCCACTCCCAGCCCAGACCCTGCATCCCCAATCCACTCCTTGACCCTACCTCCCACCCAGACCCCACATCCCGAGCCTGTTCCTGCACCCTACTTCTTGCCCAGACCTCGTACTCCAGTCTGCTCCCCTACAGTTCTCTCATGTACACTGACCCCCTCATTTTGGAATCACCCCAATGGCTATTCGGCCCCACTAAATCTACTATCCCTGTGCCCCCAGAAGAGTTAATCTTGTCCTGGGGGAAACCCTAGGAGCTGAGTGCTAAGGCAGTGAGGTAAGTGGCTCTTTTTTTCCCCTAGTAATAGAGATGTAGCCGTGTTAATCTGGTCTTGCTGAAACAAAAGATAGGACTATGCAGCACTTTAACGACTAACAAACCATCTTGTTAGTCTTTAAAGTGCTGCATAGTCCTGTCTTTTGTTTCTCTTTTTTCTGTTTCTCAGTTGGTGGCAATGTATGTGAGAGTTTTTTTCCTTCTCACACTTGGGCTTCAATTCAGTGAGTGGAGGTTTTTTGGTTTGTTTTTTGCTTTCCACTTGCATGTGGTTCCTGGCTGATTTTTTTATAGGCCAGTGGCCCCTGATCCCAAAAATGTTCCCTAGCCCAGCAAAATTGAATGCTAAACTATATTATACAATTTAGCCACTAGATGGTGTCATGCATAACAGACCTTATCTGAGCTGGTAATAGTTAGAGCAGTGGTCACCAACCAGTAGATAGAGATCTATGGGTCCATCTTGGATCCTCTGACAGGATACCAACTGGTTTGACCAGGAAGCTATCAAGCGCTGGCACTTCAGTTGCCCTTTCCCCCACTGTCTTGCTGCTCCTGCCCTCTGCCTTGGAGCTACCTCCCAGGAGCCACCTGCTTGCTGTGCAGGGTTTGGGAGGGAGAAAAGGGGGATTCTGATGTCAGGGTGTCCCTCCTCCCCCCACTCCTGTTCCCTGTCTCCATACTGAGAAAAAGGCGTGGAAGGAGCTAGGCAATGCAAATTTCTGTCACTCTCACATCACACATTGTCGCAAATGTCTGTCGTTCTCATAAACACACTCTGTCCTTCACTCTCATCTCCTGACCCAACACACACAGTCTGTGTGTGTGGGAGGGGGGCTTGTTGTTACTCTTTTTACTGCTTGCAAAGTGGGTTTGTTTCGGTTTGTGACTGGTCTGTGCATTTCATAATTTTCATCTCTTTCTTACACTTACATTTAATTCTTTGAGTAGTGAGTTCTAAAATGCCTAACCTGGTGCCGCTGGAGTAATTGTCTCAGTGGTAACTGCTGTTCCTGGAAGTAGCTGGCATGTCCCTGCATGTCCCCTGAGAGAAGCAGAGCAGGGGGGCTCCACATGCTGTCCTTGACTGCAGACACCACTCCTGCAGCTCCCATTGATTAACCGGCCAGTAGAAGCCATGGGCTCAGTGCCTGTAGATGAGGGGCACCACATGGAACCATTGTTGTATATGCCAGCTGCTTTCAGGAGTGGTGCAGAGCCAGGGCAGGAGTAAGCTGCCTTAAGCCCACCACCCGGGAGCCGTCTCTGTTAAATGGTGCCCAGCCAGAGCTTGCTTCCAAAACCCCTGTCCCAACCCTGAACCTCCTCCTGCCCCCAATCTCCTGCCCCAGATGTGAGTCCCCCTGCATCCAAACTCCTTCCCAGAGTTTGCACTCTGAAATGCCTCCTGGACTGCAATCCCGTGCCCTGGGCTAAACCCTGAGCCCCTCCCTCATGCCCAACCCCTTGGCCAAGACCAGAGTCTGCACCCCAACCCTCTACCCCAGCCTGATGTGACTGAGGATGGGGAAGGAAGGAGGATGGAGTAAGCAGGATGAGACCTTGGAGAAGGGGTGGAGCAGGGCAGGGCCTCAAAGAAGGGATGGGAAGAAAGCAGGGCAAGGGTATTTGGGTTTGAGGTAGATCTTACATTGCACTTCAATTAAAAAAGTGATCTTGTGGTTAAAAAGGTTGAAGATCACTGAGCTAGAGCAAGCACAGCACTGAAGGATCTGGGTCATTCAGGTTTAGAACCTGAATCATGTGGTCAGTTAACAGATATAATGTCCTATAACTTATGACCTACTCCTCTACATCTCTTTCCCACTTAGATGCCTATTGGTATACTAGCCAATTAGCCCGTCCTAAGACGGGATTTTCAGGTCTTCTCTCCTGAGCTCTTTGGCTCTGTTTCTCTCTCTCTCTCCTCCTACTGCCTCCCCCTCTCTCTCTCAGCTCTCCTCCGCCTCCTGCCTCTCTCTCTGTCTCTTTCTTTCTCTTCTCTTTGATGTTGACAGGGGGAACGTCCAGACTAGCGCGCGAGCCGACAAACAGCTGATCAGCTGTTTGTCGGCTCAGCGCGGCAGCCATGTAAATGTAAATGAAGCCGCGATCATTTAAATCGCGGCTTCATTTGCCTTTGCTGAACAAACAAATCTACATGCCTCTGCCGACAGAGGCATGTAGTTTAGACGTACCCTTAAAGTGCATCTACACTGGAGAGTTATTTCAGAATAACTCCTCTTATTTCAAAATAACAAGCAGAGCAATGTCATGTCTGTAGATGTAATGCCCACACGCCAGGTACATCTACATAGTAACTGACATTATTCTGAAATAACATAGTCCACAACTACACTACAAGCAATTATTTCGACATAATGTCAAAATAATGTTGAGCTGGAGGTCTTCTTATTCTGACTTCTGTAACCCTCATTTTATGGGGAGTAAGGAATGTTGGAGGAAGAGTTCTCTTTCTCAGACTTCCTTCTGTGTAAACAGTGCCAAAA